TGATCCCTTCTTGGTCTAGGTTGAGCCTGAGCCAAAACCTGGGCTACTACTTCCCCAAAGGCAAATACCAGAAGGCCTGGAACTGGTGGAATCTGAACCTGCACGTCCACGCGCCGCCCGTCCAGTCCATCTCCTTGAAAATCAACCAGTACATCAAAGTACAAATAAGGAGCCAGGACGAGATCACCTTCTGCTTCAACCACCAACAGAAGCACATCCGCTTAAACCTGGGCACCAAGTACAAGGTAAGGTCTCACCTCCCTCTGCCAGGCTGCCGCCCGCCGGCCCAGGCCACCGGCCTCTCTCTGGGCCACGTTCGGCATCTCTGCAACCGACGGAGGACCGACACGGCCACCTTCGCTGACCCGATGCTTGACCACAACAGAAGCAATCAGTCACTTCCGAGCCCTTGAGACTTGGAGCCGAGGAGCCGGACAGCCTCAAAGAGCTCAGACGAGAAAGCAAAGGTGTCAACATTCAGTAGTTCCCCTGACACGACAGCCCCGTCACTTGGCAGGGACAGACACAAGGTGGAAACCTACGTTCCCAGTCCTGCCGTGGGTATCCTCATCTCTCCTCCCCAAACCACTCATCTTGAAACAAATGAGCACCGGGGAGTTGAGGGTGTGCCGCCCAAGTCGGGCAAGAAAGTAGCCAGATGGATTCGTGTCCTCGGGCTGCCAGAGCAAATTGCCACAAATCGGGTGACTTACAACAGGAACTCACCCTCACAGCCCTGGGGACTAGAGGTCTGAAATCCAGGTATCATCAGGGCCACGCTCCCTCCGCAGGCTCTCGGGGAGAGTCCCTCCTTGCCTCTCCCAACTTCTGGTGGCCCCAGGCATTCGCTGGCTTGCTACAGCATCGGTTCAACCCTCCACCCTCACACAGCCTTCTTCTCTGGGTCCGTCTGTGTGTCCAGTCTCCCTCTCCTTTCTTGTGTAAGGACACCCGACGCTGGACTTAGGGCCCACACTAAGTCCTGGATGGCCTCATACTGAGATCCTTAATGACATCTGCAAAAACCCTGTTTTCAAACACAGTTACCGGTCAGTCTGGGGAGGGGCCTGGAGATCTGCATTCCTTAAAAGCTTGCCAGGTGATGGTGCGGGGCGGTGGGTGTGGGAGCCCCGGGTGCTGGGGATTAGGACTCAGACATAGCTTTCGGGGGCCACAGTTCAACCCACTACAAATGGTGAGTGTGCACCCTGCGGTTCTGACCGTAAGAGGGCAAGAAGGTGGGTTCTTGAGACCCTTCCCCAGGCCCAGAGTGCAGGAGAGAAATAGGGTGTCCTTGTCCCCCGCCCCCACTGGGACCCACACAAGACCCTGCTCTTGCTCCGACTTGCCCTTCACCATGCACAGAAGGCTCTGTTTCCAGACCCACCAGAGAGGCGTTCGAGGTCTCTGAAAGTAGGACTGCCTGTGTGGGGAGAGAGACAGACCGACATGTTTTCCGGGAGGTGAGCAGACAGAGCAGTAGGTTGACGGACAAAGCAACCGAACAGCAGACTCGGGCAAAATGAGGCCGAATGAAATCACTGGAAGGGAGCGGAGGGAATGTGGTGGGTTCGGCTCGCCCAGGACCGAGGTGTTTTCCAACTGGGAAAGGTGGACAGCCAGAAGTGGGCAGCTGGTCACCTGGCCTGGCGAGGCCTGCCACTTGGCATGCTGAATAGTCATGTCCCAACGTCCTCACCTACCCCAGATGTCCCAGAGTGGCCGACCCAGTCCCCCAGCCACCCACTCGGCCCCCACCGCACCGTGCTGATGAGCTAAGGGAGCAGCTAGGTTGGCAGGGTGGGAGGACCCGGGCCGCTGGCCTTCGGACAGTTTTACTGAGGGAGGAGGGCCACAAAAGGAAGCCAGTGCCCAGGAGGAGGGTCAGGTAAAGGCCGGTGTAGGCAGAGTCCAGGAGGCCTGGAAGCCCCAGGGGCTCTGCCAGTGGAGGGTGGGCCCCAAATGAAGCAACTCAGCACACACGTGACTCGTCAGCAGGTCTACCTGAGCCAGGCAGCTGGGGTGTCCTAGGAGGAACACGCCAGCCCATCCACTTCCTGTGAGGCACCAGGCAGGCCTCCTACACTTCCCGTGCCCCTTATTGTCTGCAAAACGGACACCACATCGTTGTAAGGCTTAAATAAGACCCTTCGTGCGACGACATCTCCCTCCCTGCCCCACCTCGGTAGGAATCCACGGGGAGAAGCCAGACACCCCCAGGAAGGCACAGCCTTTGCAAGGCAGGCCACTTGAGGGCCCAGGAGCCGGCAAGCCTTTGGTTTGGGGTCAGGCTTCGGTGTGTCCTCAGCCCACATCTCTGCGGCCAGGTGGCCACAGGCCCAGGCCAATGAGAGACGTACTGCTGGGGGCAAGGCCGGGAGCAGAGGCGTGCCCCTCGGCGAAGTTTCCAGAGAAGGCTTGGTCTTGGCCAACAGGGGGCCTGATCCTGGGGTGGAAATCACGACACCTGGGCAGCATTTATGCTCACCCAGCCTTCTCTGAATTCCCACAGTCCATAACCCCGGAGGTGCTGAGTGAAATGAGGCAGAAAGCAATCCTGGAGGTAGAATGTGGTTCAGCGGCCCAGAAGATGCAGACCCTCCTGGGAAAAATGAGTAAGATCCTGAATTTCCTGACCATCCCTGATTTGGAAAACTTCATAGAGGCTGCCAGTTCCTTGGCAGTAGGCAACATGAAACGGAAGGAGAAATCGTACCTCCCAGACTAGGACAGCCACCAGCTGGTGACCGGCC